TGTTTAAGTCCATAAAGCGACTTAACAAGTTTGCACACTTTCTTTTCTTTACCAGAAACCACAAAACCCTTGAGTTGTTCCATATAAATTTCTTCATCCAATTCTCCATTTAAGAAAGTTGTTTTACCATCCATTTGATGGATTTTAAGACCATACCCGACCGCCAGTGCCACTAACACCCTAATAGATGTTATCCTTATTACTGGCGAGTAAGTATCAAAGTAATCAAGACCTTTCTTTTGTCTATAACCTTTGATAACAAGTCTTGCCTTATATTTGTCTATAGTGCTATCAACTTTCATTTTCGTCTTAAAGATCCATTTTGAACCTAAAGGCTTATTCCCTGGAGGAAGATCAACCAATTCCCATGTATGATTATCCAAAATTGATTGAATCTCACTATTGAATACCTCTTTCTAAAATGCTGAATTAGAAGATAACATAACTGTTTTGAAAGTTTGAGGCTCATTTTCAAGCAAGAATATCACAAAATCTGGTCCAAAGGAAGTAGATGTTCTTTGACGTTTGCTACGCCTTGGATCCTCTTCACTTGGAGTATTTTCCTTTGGTTCTTCCCGTGGTCGTTTAGGTCTTTCACTTGATGACTCACATTCGGTTTTATACGGATAGATTTGTTCAAAGAATTCAGCGTTATCTGATTCAATTACTGTATTGACATGAATTTTGGGATTATCAGATTTATGAACCAAAAATCGACATGCTTTACTATTTGTAGAATATCTATTGAAAATACAATTCACAATTTTTGGTCCGATTTTTACCCTTTTGGGTAAAGGTACCTGTACCTTTGCTAAACACCCCCACACTTTGAAATATTTCAAGTTGGATTTTCTTACTTTCTATTTTTCATATGGAATAGATTACGTTTTGCTGTGGGGTACTCTGTTGAGTATTCGATTAACTGTAAGGATAACTTCCCCCTACAAACTTTGCCGTAAGCCGAAACTTATTAATAAAGAATTCATCATTTCCTTTAATGTCCTTTTTTTTCTTTCCGCAATTCTATTGGATTGAGGAGTGTATGAGGCAGTAGTTTGATGGATAATTCCATATTCCAAACATATTTTTGCAAATGGAGATTTGTATTCTCCACCCTTATCACTTTTAATCATTTTAATCTTTTTATTCAATTGATTCTCCACTTCATTCTTGTATTTCTTAAATGCTTCAATTGCTTCATCCTTACTATTAAGCAAATAAGCATAACAATATCGAGTATAATCGTCTATAAAAGTTATAAAATACTTTTTCTCACCACGCAATGGTGTTAACTTCATATCACAAATGTCAGTATGAATTAAGTCTAAAGGATTTGAATTCCTTTCAACAGACTTGTAAGGATGTTTTACAAACTTAGATTCAACACATATTTGACATTTTGATTTATTACACTCAAATTTAGGCAATACTAAATTAATTAACTTCCGTAAGGTGTGTAATTGACATGTCCCTAAACGAAATTGCCATAAATTATTTGACTCCAATAAATAAGAAGAAGCTGAAATTTTATTAATACTGTCAACAGCCATTACATTGAGTTTGAAAAGGCCATCTGTGAGGTAGCCCTTTCTATCATACATATCATTCTTGCTTACAATAACTTTGTCAGACACAAATACACATTCATCCATTGTTAACAAGTAAAGAAGTTGAAACTAAATTTTTCTTAATAGTAGGAACATGAAGAACGTTGTTGAGCATTAACACCTTCCCGGAAGTCATCTTCAGGAATATCTTCCCATAACCCTTAATCTTGGTTATTGCGGTATTTCCCATAGAAAACTCTTCTTCGGGACCAGCAGTAGAGTAAGTTGCAAATACCTTTTTGACAGCACAAACATATCGAGTAGCTCCAGAGTCATTCCATCACTCCTTCAGATTTCTAACTAAGTTGCATTCCGAAAGCATTACACACAGATCATCAATGTTATCATTCTTCTCCACTATGTTGGCATGTCCTTTTTTCTTGTCCTTTTTAGGGATACGACAATCAGGGGCCTTGTGACCAGCTTTTTCACAATTGTAGCAGTTGCCCTTGAATCTTTTCTTGTTCTGCTCCTTAGTCTGTCCAGAAAACCTCTTCCTCTTATTATTTTTTGGTGCAGTTTCCTCAATGATATTAGCTCCCAGAATCGTTGAATTTTCACGAGACTTCTTCTCGGCTGTTTGTTATCTTCCTCAATCTTGAGACGAATCACAAGATCTTCCAACTTTATTTATTTGCGCTTGTGCTTTAGATAGTTTTTGAAATCTCTCCACGAAGGAGGCAACTTTTCAATCATTGTAGCCACTTGAAATACTTCATTCACTATCATACCTTCAACAATAAGGTCATGAAAAATAAGTTAAAACTCTTGAACTTGGGTTCCAACGGTTTTGTTGTCTGTCATTTGATAGTCTAGAAACTTGGCAACCACAAAACTTTTCAAGCATGCATCTTCAGTCTTGTACTTCTTCTCAAGTGTGTCCTATAATTCGTTCGAAGTATTCATAGCACTGTAGACATTGTACAAGTCATCCTCCAAAGCACTTAGGATGTAGCCTTTGCAAAGAAAATCTGACAGTTTCCACGCCTCAACAATCATAAACTTCTCGTTGTCTAGCATGTTTGCGGCAGACACTGGAGGGTCTTCACTGGTGAATTTCTGCATACCAAGCATGGTAAGCCAAAAGAACACCCTTTGCTGCCATCCTTTGAAGTTGGCTCCAGAAAATTTTCCCGATTTTTTCGCCGGTGGCACAGCAGTTCGGCTTGACGAGGCTATCGTCGTTGCCGCAGCAGTCATAGAAGAATTTCCATTATCAATTGCCATTTCTCACTATCAACAACATAAGAGTTCCATTAATGGCAAAGAAAAATAGAACAATAAACAGAACTGTAATTAATAATAAATAGTACGTTTAATAAACAAAAGCCGAAGTTTTGTATATACTGTTTCACAAGAAAAACGATGAAGTTTTTATGTTCTTCAAATTGTTTCTGAATTTTAATACTCCGATGAAGTTTTTATATCTTCAAATCAGAAATAGAAAAAATTCGGAAGGAGTAGAAAACCACAAAGGTTTTAATCTCCAAAACAGAATACAGATTACAATATAAAATAATTTCTTTAAGATTGTTATTAATTTGTATCACTATAATATAATATTACGAAACAGTAAATTTCTATAACATAAAATAGAAACAAGAAAATCAAAAATAAGGCAAAAATTGGAGATTATCAGAAACCAGAATCTGTAAATATATTTCGGAATAAAATCGAGCCCACTGAATGCACAATGTGTCCTTAAGAAAACTATTCCCCTCAAGTACCCGAGGTGTTGGAATATTATCCTCCCAGGATAGAACTATTTAACTCACCAAACAGCGAACCACTTGAAGGTTGTAAACCACATTGGAATTTAATTGTGCAGAAGAAGGAGAAGAAGTTCAGAAAATTTCGTAAGGAAAGATTCTGGGATCAAGGCATATTTATAGCCATTTTCTAGCGCGGCAACGATTTTCGTTTAAAATATCCCGAGAAATTAATTTAAAATAATTCGTGTCCTGGGTTAGTCCGAGTTGATTTTTCGTTAATTAATTTAATTAATTAATTAATTAATTAAAAAAAAATTTGTCCAAAAAGATTAAATAATCAATCTTTGACCAAAGCTGAAGCCAAGCCGAGCGACGACTGCGGCGACAAGACTTACTTTCTTTCCAACTCATTTAACACCAAAGAAAGTAATTTATCAATATAAATACATTCATTTTTATTTCTATCACCAATGAGAGACACTTGCTCTTTCCAAAGGAAAAGGGAGTTCACTTTCCCTTCATTTCCCATTCACCAGTCTTTTAATCTCAACATTTTCCGGTAGAGTGAACTCAACCACTTTCTCATTTCAGTATTTTTATTTCGTGGAAATTAAAGGTATTGCTAATTGCGATAGGCTAGTCATGCTCATGATCCAAAGTTCGGACAGACCCCTTCCTAATTGAACGCATATTACGTACGAATATCCTGTGAATAATAACTTTTAATTTGACTGATTTGAGTAAAAATTATATAATTCAACTCTCAGTTCAGTAGTTTTATCACACAGTCAAGTTTAATTTGATTGAATTGAAGTTAAAAGTAATAACGTACCTATTTTAGATGTACACTTTACGTAGCTCCTAGCTAAAAAAGCAACCTTTTAACAACGTCTTAGTGGTGGGACACGTAAGTAGTGCAACTTAAACCCAGTTAAAGATGGAAGATTCCAGTTACTTAGCTGCGTTCACACCTATTTTAATGTCCTGGATTCGATACCGAAGCCTTTTCACACTGAAGCCCCGTTTATACGGCTTTGGCTCATTAGCCGGATGGCCGTCTTAGCCAACTTCTCTTCATTTTCATCTCTATTTTCTTCTCTCTTGAATGCTCATATTTATTTGATCATTGTATTACCTAGCTAGTTCCAATAAATAGTATGATATGGCAGATTTTTCAAATTTATGTAAATATTATAAGTATATCTGAGTTCATTCCGTTATTAACAAAGTGAAGAACTAACACTTATTTCCTCTGGCCTAAGAATAAACTAGTTGTAGATAACTATCCGAATCCTTCTTTGTTAGGTTTATAATAATTAATGTGAAAGTTTCCTGATTGAGAATATTCTTCTCATCATTTTTATCATTAAGAGACTCTAGAATGTCTATTTATTATCTTTTACTTTTCTTATGTTGCAATGTAAAATAAATAAATAAATAAGGGCAGCTGATCAGCTAGAGCCAGTCGATTCCTTGAATAAGCAAAATATAAGCGGTAGTGTCACAGCTATGACCTAACTCAAAATATAGGTGGAGTTGGACCCACGAAGGATTAGGTCAAACACTACCCCAGTCCGACGTGGTATTTCCAACCTACTTTTTCCTTGCCATTAAATATGTCACAAACTTCATTCTTACAAAAACCTTACAACCAAAGCAAGCTTATAAGATATCAGTAAATATGGGGAATTGTATGAGAAAAGAATCCTCCTCCGTGCAATGGGGCGGCGAAGACTGGGGCTCACTATCTCCGCCGTCATCGTCGGAGGATTTCTATCATAAATCCATGAAATTAGATCATCATCTCTTAATGAGAGAAAGCATTCATTCTTCAACGCCCGTAGTAAAAGAGGTAAAAATTAAGATCACAAAGAAGCAGTTGTCGGAACTGACGGGTAAGGCTGACGTACAAGGAATATCCGTACATCAGCTATTGACGGAGTTAATGAAGGTCAGTGAGGGGTTTGAGCTGCATCATCGCTCATGGAGGCCTGCCTTACAGAGTATACCAGAAGTCAATTAATTATCTTAGTCCTTGTAAATTTTCTCTCTTTTTTTCTTTTCATCTTTTAGGATTTAGGAAGTAGGAGGGTTGTATATATGCAGTGTAGAGAAGACAGTAGGAAACGTTTGTTGTTTGGACGACTAAAAGAAGCTAGATAGATTTTGGCAGATATTGGATTACTCAGATGTTGTAGAAATATTAAAAGTAGAAAATATGAGTGAAAATCAAGCAAGATAATTTTAACGAAAATATGAAATGATCAAGTAGGTAAGGTGTTTTCATGAAATTATCTTTAGTATAATAAATTTTCCCACACTGTGCTAATGGTTAACAAAAGAATCTATTCACAAGATACAATACCTACTCTGAAAATCAAAGTTTTTCTTGTTAATTTCTTCTACTACAATAACTCAACCCAAAAGGAAGAAGAAATTTGTTGGAAGTTGAAGAAGAAGATTGGTGGTGGAAGAAGAACTTCAATGAACAATGTTCAGATTGAAGAGGTCTGAATATTAATGTAGTTATCTAGATCATACGCTACAAGAGAACAATGAATCTTTAAATGGATGTATATTTGGGTAGGATTGGGTCAAAAAAATTTGAGCCCAATGAAATTGAAGCTTAAAAACTTGACCCAAGTCAATCCGGTAGCCTTTGAGGATTGAGAGACGTCGGGCCCAAAATTAAATTACTTCGAATTTAAATAATTATTATTTAAAAGATTCAAAGTTTAAAAATTAATAATAACTAAAAAGAGCTACTAATGGAATAAGTGTATGAAGTCTTGGTTGATCAGAAATTAATAGTTCCAAACATTATACATTACTTCGTATCTCCATGTGATTGTCAACATTTAATTAACTGCATTTCTCTAGTATCATACATTATAAATTATAAATTGATCATGTCTGACTATATTAGATCAAGAGAAAATTATGTTTGACTTTGACCTATGACAACTAGTAGATTCTATGAATTTTATAGTTTTTATTACAAAAATGATGAAATCAACAAATGATCTGAAATAAAAATTAAATGACCTTATAATATAAATTTATTGAAGCAATACTCAAACCTGAAGAAGTTAAAAAAAAGTATTAAAAATATTCTTCTTAACATAAAATATTAAAAAATAAAAGAAAGAAGAAACTAGAGATATAAAGAATTTGCATTTTCATTACGAGATTCCTTGTCAAATATTAAGCTTCTTGTACTGCTATATGCAAACAGAAGTCATTCACATGGTTAGGGGACTATGCAATGAAAAAATTCTTATAAATTCAANTGCATATATATTCTGTATGTTCTATACAAATATTCTATAAATTTAATACACTTTTTCGACTATCGAATGTAAATAGTTTCTGGCACGCGCGGGCTAAAAGTAATAATACCCATTACAAAAAGTTGAAAAAATAAAGGGATTGTCCGTCCTAGCCTACGGTCCTTTTAGGGCTGGGTTTGGGCAGGCAATTTTAAGGCTCATTCAAATGTCGAGTCGGCCCATCCTTGTCTATCAAAATCCAAGGCACACGAGGAGTTGCACTGAGCTGGCCTGTTTTGATATCTCTCTCTGTGTCCATCCAAATTGGAGCAGCCATTCCGTTGGAATTATTTCAAAAAGAATTTAGTTAAAAATCATAGAGACACTACTTTTGAAAAAAAAAACATATCATATTAGCCTTCATTCTTTTAAATAATTATTATATTGTTATGAAATAATAATTATATATTATATACAACATTAAAGGGCAGCCGGGTACATAAGACATTTCGCGTTCACGCAGGATCCAGGTGTAACAGCCCAGCTCGCTAATGATATTGTTGCTCTGGGCCTAGGCCCTCACGGTTTAAAACGCGTCACTGGGGTATAAGGCTTGTTAACTTATATACCCAATATTCCTCTTGTGTTTTGCCGATGTGGGACTATGTCTAAAGTCTGGGGTGTTACATGCAGACCCTCTTATGGACTCAACGTCCTCGCGGAGGTTTGCCCCATCGCATGGAATTCGCCTAGACTCAGCACTGAGGTTTGCCCCGCTTAACCGGGATTTGCCTAAACTCAGTTGAACTCTGACCCACCATCGGCAAGGCTGACATAAGAGTGGCTCTGATACCATCTGTAACAGTCCAACCCGCTAGTGATATTGTCCGCTCTGGCCTAGGCACTCACAGGTTTAAAACGCGTCACTAGGGTCTAAGGCTTATTAACTTATATATCCAACATCCCTCTTGTATTTTTTCGATGTGAGACTCTCTCAAAAGTCTGGAGTGTTACACCAGGGAAAAGTCGCAAAGCAAGATGTGTGATGTCGACAACCTATCTTAATCCAAACTAACATTAAAAACTAAATAAGGATATAGTTTGGTGAGATTGAAATTCTAAATTAAGTGGTGTAAGATAGTTCAACCAACAAACTATAATATTTATACTAGCTACTCCATGCGGTCCCAAATACATCGAACCACTTTCTCTTTCAATCCTATAGTTTTCTACCGGAAAATATTTTTAGTTTTATTTTTTCAAATTTGTATAGGTTATGACAAGCAAAAAAAATTTAAATTTACTGACATGGAATAATGTATCATTTTGTAGTGCCGAGAATTTGATTTTCCAATAAGTTGTACTTGTTAGGAATATAATATATAGTTCAATTATTTTATTGATACAAAAATAGTTTTGTGACTTTGTTGAACAACTAGTAAGTTCAATTACTTTAATGGTGCAAAAAATAATTTCATGAGTTTGCTAATATATCAATGGCGAAGCTTGATGATTTTAATAATATAAAATTAGTTTAGTAACATTACTGATATAACGAATAAAATTTAAAACCACGAGGTTGTAATGGTGCCTAACATTCGCTTGCTAGGCAAGCCAATATTAGCTATAAAGATATTTATTTTAACAATTTTCAAAGCAAATTAATAAGAGGGTAAAGTTGTAGAACTTCAAAATATATAATAAACTCCATACAGGTTGTCTAGTCTAATCCAGAAACTGGTCTCACAAGTACATGAGCTGCTAAAAGTACTACAAACAAGGTATGAAATAAAAATACAATTGTCGGAATGAAACAAATAGTATGAAAGATAAGAAGGGGACTTCAGGGTCTGCGAACGTCATGTAGCTCTACCTCAAGTCTCCCGATAATGACAGTCCGAGCAAAACCTCCGCTAAGCGCCGCTTGGACCAACACCAGAATCTGTACAAGAAGTGCAGAAGTGTAATATGAATACACCGACCCTATATACGTAAGTGTCAAGCCTAACCCCGACGAAGTAGTGACGAAGCTATAAAAAAGGCACTCACTATAAACCTGTACGAGTATAAGAAAAAAATAATACTTCATCCGTTTCAAATTAGATGAGGTACTTTCCTTTTTAGTTTGTTCCAAAATAAATGGCACATTTCTAAATTTGGAAATAATTCAACTTTAAACTCTTCATTTTACCCATTTTACCCTTAATGAGAAGTTTTTATAACCACACAAATGTCATGACCCCACAAAGCTTTTACCCCTTAAGCTTTTAAGATTACAAGTTTTGAAAGTCTTCTTTTTTTTTCTTAAACTCCATGCCGAGTCAAAATTTCTCATCTAAATTAAAACGAAAGGAGTAGCATAATAGAGAAACAACGACTAACATGAAAACAAGAATTAGAAATTACATAATAGAGGGCCCAGAATATCATCTAAGCTCAAATTCACATCACAACACGGATACGGAACCAACAACCAAGAATAATCATAATATGTATCTTCTCCGTTACGGCGTGCAACCCAATCCACGCATTTATATATACCAATATCGTTGCAGCGTATAACCCGATCTCATATACAATATCAATATTCGTTACGGTGTGCAACCCAATCCGAAATACAATATCAATACCTGTTGCGGCGTGCAACCCGATCCCAAATACAATAACAATATTCGTTGCGACGTTCAACCCGAACCTAAATACAGTATCAATATTCGTTGCAGCATGCAACCCGATCCCAAATATATAGTAATACTACAAATAACTACGTTGTAGCTCACAACATACGAGAAATGAACCAAAATAAGTAAATACTCTAAGGCAAACCGATATAACAAAGCGAAGTGAAACAGAAGCAAGTTGTCACGACCCAAAATCCCACCTTAAGAATCGTGATGGCACCTAGTCCCTAAGACTAGGTAAGCCTATCACACAACATTACCAAACAGAATATAACAACTTAATATTTAAATAAAACTGAGAAATTGGCCCAAAGCATAGCCAAAATGATAATATAACAATCACAATCCCGAAACCCGGTAATACTGAGTCATAATCTCTACAAGAAGTACATAATGAGTCTCAAAATACAGAACTGTTTGAAGTACAATAAATATTAGTAAGGAAAACAATGGAAGGTGACTCCGAGACCTGCGAGCGGAACAATAGGTGTACCTTGAAGTTTCCACGGCAACTCGAGATCAGCTCTCTAATGACTAGTGCGCTCTACGGTACCTGGATCTGCACAAAGAATGTGCAAAAGCACAATATGAGTACACCACAGTCGGTACCCAATAAGTATCAAGACTAACCTCGGTGGAGTAGTGACAAGGTTCAAGTCAAGGCACTCATTAGTCAAATAACCTGTGCAAATATTATAAAATGGCAACATGAAGAATAACATAAAGCAAGAACTGTAATCTCATCAGGATAAGCGATAACCATTTAGAACAAATAAAGGCCCTGTTTGGACAATAAGTCATCCAATAGAATCACACATCCATAGTACCTCGTGCCCACATTATCAATCACCCTCGCACGACAGAGACCTCGTGACATAATACAAGTCGCACTCACATGGCAAAGACCCCTTGTCACAATATAAGTTACACTCACACAACAAAGATCTAATGCCCCAACATATACCACAACCGCACGACAAAGACCTTGTGCCACCACGTATATCGTACCCGTGTCAGTTACCAACAACACGTTCAAGAGAAATTTATCAAGAATCAAATAAAGTAAAGCATGATAATAACTTCCTTTTATTTTAATATGTTATGTTACTAGAACTCAACATAATAAGAGATAATAACTCCACGTAGGTAAATCAATCTTGGCAACCAAATCATCAAGTAATAACAGAGACACGTATTAACATATTGGAACAACGCAACAAATCACGTAGAATGCATGACACACACAAGAAATCATAAGCACAAACAAGAATACTTCTTTATTTTTACCATCACACAAACATCATCAATAAAACTCCCCCAGACCATCACATAACATCCCCACATAGCCACCCTTATATCACCGTGTGCGCAATAATAAAGTGCATGCGCGTCTTGTCTCGCCACATGCATTTTAATAATCATCTCACCTTGTCTCGTCACATGTGCAAACCCGATATATTGCCCGCCTTATCTCACCGCGTGTTCGATTTCAACAATAATAATAATAGCACGGCAGCAACCTCGTGCAAACACCTGAACAATCCGCCCAATAAGTTCACATGTACCATAATCACAACAATACAACATGCCAACAATTATCATTAAGACATAAACTCACAATCTTCCAACGCGGTGCACAAGGACAAACCAATAAAGGAAATGTGGATGGGTGTTCAATATATAAGCAGAAATTCAGCTAACTCAAATTAGCAACAATCTCACAAACGTCCAACTTGGCCAATTAAGAAAAAATAGAACACTAAAACATAATCTCTAGCATGGAATGTAAACAAAAGTAATCATTCAAAGTGAATACACGTAGAGCAAAGGCCTCTCTCAAGCAAATCAAGGCAATAAGAGCAACCTCGGTTCAAATTCGGTCATGAATCACACATACGACTGTGTACACACTCGTCACCTCGCGTACACATCGTTTATACATAATACAAATAAGCAATTTAGCCAAATCCTAAGGGGAAATTCCCCCATACAAAGTTAGGCAAGATACTTACCTCAAAAGCCCTCAATCAATACTCTAAAAATATTTTTTCTCTAAAGTTTATCTCTGTTCGGCCCAAATCTAGCAAAAATGACTTAATAACATGAAACAATCCAAGAGGATTCAATTTCAATAAATAAAGTTAAGATCTTTACACATTTCTCAAAAATAAATAAAAGTCAACTCCGGGTTCGCTTGGTCAAAATCCGAGTCGAAGGATAGATCTCGACTACCCATAATCCCATGAGTCCAAATATGTGTGTTTAATTTTCAAATTCGAGTCCAATTCGACTCTCAAATCTCAAATTTTTATTTTTTTCAAAACATAGTAAAAAATTCCCAAAAATTCCTTTCAAATCCCATGATTTAGATATTAAAATCCATAAGGAATCAAGTTAAAATATTGAAATTGAGTCAAAATTACTTACCCATTAGCTAGATGTGAAAATCCCCTCCAAAGATCACCTCCCATCAAGTCTAGAGCTCAAAATGTGATAAAATGAGACTAAGTCCGGAAATCTCATCCTTTAAACCAGTTGCAGATGTCGCATTTACGACCAGAGGTTCGCAAATGCGACACAGGGATCGCAAAAGCGACACAGGGATTGCAAAAGCGAACCCTGCCTACCCTAGAAAATATTGCAAATGCGACCTACGCCTCGCAAATGTGAAGTTAGACCATACCGCAAAAATGACAAAATAGTCTGCAAATGCGAACTGGCCACAACCTAGCTAATGTCTCAAATGCGAAGCTCGCAAATGTGGAGCCCTCATCGCAAATGCGGACATGGTCAGAATACCCAGACCTCACAAATGCGGTGCCCACCACACAAAATGCGAGGTCTACAAATGCGAACAAGATCTCGCATTTACGAGACCTGAAGCACCAGCAATGAACCTAACATTCTGAAACTCAACTCAAACACTTCGAAACGCGCCCAAAACTCACTCGAGCCCCCGGGAATCCACACCAAATATACACACATGTACATAAACATCATACGAACTCGACCACACACTCGGATCACCAATATAACATATAAAACCTCAAAATGAACACCAAAACGCATGAAAATTGCCATGAAACTCAAGAACTTCTAAAAACACAACCAAGTGTCTGACTCCTATCAAACCAACTTGGAATAACGCCAAACTTTGCACCCAAGTCCCAAATGAAAAAATTGATATATTTCAAGTCCCGAAAAAAAAAATCCGAACCTGATAGCCATAAAGTCAATCATGGTCAAACTTAGGAAATTTCTAAACCTTCAAATTGCCAACTTTCGGCAAAAAGAGTCAAATCAATCTAGGAACCTCCGAATCCAATTTTGGGCTCCGAATCCAAAATTACCATATGAACCTATTGAAATCATCAAAATACCATTCTGGGGTCATTTTTACAAAATTCAAATCTCAGTCAACATTTCCAATATTTGCATGTGTGTTGAGCGAAAATCGCTCAGTCAACTGAGTCGTTTCCTCTGGAGTAGTAGGTCTACCCCCAATCCGCTGTTGCGAGTCTATCATCCCATACAAATGGGCCATGACGCTATCATCACGAGCTTGATGCTCGACTTTAATCAATATAGTGCCATCCTCCTCATCGGGCCCACGAATACAAGTAATATCAGTTTCTCGAGGTGCAGATGGAATTATCATATTAAAACTGGGCTCCTCATCTACTTTTTCCTGACGCAATATTGTGTAAGCACGTTCCCAAAGAATATCTTGGTAAGAGTGCCTCTTCTAGTTTGCTCCATCAGATGGCACATCAATTGTCCCACACTTACATGTCGCCCTATTGTTAAAAAATATACAAGACATACCTTGTCTCTGACAATATTAGTATCATGATCGCACGGAAGTAGTCTCATGTTCACTGAGCGCAACCACACTTTAGCAATTTTTGTAAACTTTAATTTTGGTAAAGATGTGTAGGTATTGTATCTCTTATCCTGATTCCACACAACATCTTCCTAATATCATTGTAAGTAGGTCGGGCAACAAAGTCACGCAATGGCCACGGTGGAACATCAGGGGCATCCAAAAATCTGCATAATGCGCTTGCCAAAATATCAATAAGCCTCCCACGAATAGGCACCAATTGCTCCTTATCCTGGAGGTTCCAGCCAGCATAAAACTCCCGAATTTAGCTAAAGATTACATCTCACGGATTTTTAAAGATAAAACTCAATCCTTGATCATGTATTGTATTCCAAATTTGAGGGTACCATAACTTTAACAAGTGCTCATCGACTGCCAAATCAGGGTGATATGTGTTTGGATGACATTTCCTGTACCATGCTCTCCCAGATGGGGGCACACTCTCGATACCATATTATCGAGTTGCCTTCTCTTGCAGTTACTCCTTGGAAGAAGCAAAAGTCACGTGCTTCCCTTTACCACTGTACGTAGCCTCAACTCTATTCCTTTTCTTTGGTGGTAGGCGTAACGGAGTAGCCTTTGCCTTAGCCGGTGCCTTGGCCTTATCTAGGGCCTTAGCACTAGGCATTGGACGAACCATATTGTACGTACCTATCAAACATACCATTTGTCAATTCAACGAACCAAGTGATATAAGAACAATAAGATCGGAGGACCCCACACTTAAAGCTCCAATATATGCTAATCGACCGATCATAGGCTACTCAAGCATCGTTTTTTTCTCGTAAGTGCATTAGCATCTAAAATTTGATATTACACGTAGCACGTATGTCATTACAAGTACGCTTTTATCAATCTAACCTGACTCTTTTGAATAACCCCACACTTAGTTTTTCATGACAATTATACTTACCTAACACAAGTCATCAATCCAGAAGACTCGGGATCCAATTGGGACTAAAATTGCCAATGAGGCAATTTATCAAACACCTAGTATGCATTATTTGTGCGTGAGTTTCTTTGTGGGTGAAGGATTACTTCACCCTCCCAAATCGACTTGGTAATAAAGTGTGAAACACTGTTACAACAATCACAAGATATCCTCTGCGTTATAAGGGGTTGGAAGCAATTTCATTACAATTTCACCATTGTTGCATCTTGCAAGACATACGAACTATCAACCATGATTTACCTTGGCTAACGAGAGAATAGAGGTGAAAGAGAGGATCATCATACATGTTGTCGAGAGAGAACCAGGGCAGTAAGAGGGAGCGGGGGGATGGAGGCAGTGCGCATGTGGTTGTGTTGGGGAAGGGAGCAGTGGGTTGGTCATTTGTGTTGAGGGGAAAATTTAGCATGTGTTTGTGATATGGGCAGATGGGTTTTGTTTGTAAGATTGGGGTTTATGTGGGGCATAAGGATTTTTTAATTGGAGATGGGGCAGATCAATTTTTTTATTAAGGGGTTGGGGTGAATGCGAAAGGAAAAATAATAAAGGGACTTACCTGGCCTTAGCGCGTTGGACGATGCAAAGCCATGTGAGGGGCGTCATTTGAAGGTCGCGAGGTACAAGATAGCACGCCAAATTTGGCGACGTAGGCATTGCAATGCGAAGGCCACCGTACCAAGTTTGGCGTGGTAGACATAGCGAGGCAGGCTATGGGGCGCAGAATTTCGGGCATGAGGCAAAGCTATAGGCGATGTGTTTCCAGTGCTAGGCTTCATGCGGCTTGCCCACAAGGTTTTTTTATGCCCAATCTATAATGATTTTCATACTCTCACCTCTTGTTATGACTTAATCACATCTTTTCTCCAAGTAGCTCCAACACCTAGCAAAACATGTAAAATTCACATAAAACTACTTTGTTACCCCGCCTCTTTATAAAATAAAATAAAAAACAAATTATATCTACTCTACGAATTAGGTTACCTCCCAATAAGCGCCTTAGTTAACGTCACGTCATGACGAGTACAACACAACCATGGGTTACCTCCCAAGAAGCGTCTGATTTGATGTCGCGGAATGACGGAGTTCATCACGATCATGGTTCACTCAACACTTGGGGTTCATTCAAATACATCACCGATATAACTTTTTCTTCATTTCCCATGCCAAGGTATTGCTTCAACCTTTGCCCATTGACTGTGAACTTGTGAGCTCCATCTTCCGACTCAATTGCAACTGCTCCCATAGGATGTATCTCTAGCACATGAAATGGTCTTGACCATCTTGACTTCAACTTACCTAGAAACAATTTTAGTCTTGAATTGTATAACATTACCAAGTCTCCAGGCTTAAAAGCTCGCTCCACAATATTTTTGTCATGGATCATCTTCTTCATTTCCTTGTACAACCTGGTGCTCTCAAACGTATGATAATGATACTCATCAAGTTCATGCAGCTCTGTAACTCTACTCGTACCAGTGGATTCAATGTCAATATTTAATTTCATTAACGCCTATAAAGCTCTATGCTCTAACTCCACTGGTAAGTGACACGCCTTTACAAATACCAATTTATATGGTGAAATACCAATCGGAGTTTTGAACATAGTGCAGTAAGCCTATAATGCATTATCCAATTTTCTCGCCCAATCAGTACGAGTAGCATTTACTGTCTTGGTCAAAATACTCTTGATTTCCCTGTTTGACACCTCCATTTTCCCACTTGTTTGTGGGTGATACGGAGTGGCAACCTTGTGGCGAACACCTTATTTCTCTAATAACTTTGCTAAGGATCGGTTGCAGAAGTGGGTGCCTCCATCACTGGTTATCGCCCTTGGAGTGCCAAATTGGATAAAGATAATCTTTCTCAAAAAACATTAACTCCCTTTGCATCATTCGTTGGGAGTGCCATAACTTCCACCCATTTCGAGACATAGTCCACAGTTACCAGTATGTACTTAATGCCATATGAGCTGACAATTGGTCCCATAAAGTGGATTTCCCATACATCGAATACTTTCACCTCCTAAATTGTATACATGGGCATCTCATGTCGATGGAAAATATTCCTAGTCCATTGGGACTCATCACAGCCTTCACCCAAAAGTGCGCATCTTTGAACAACATGGGCCAGTAAAAGCTCGAATCCAACACTTTAGAAGTTGTCCTTACTCCTCCAAAATGGCCACCATATGGTTAAGCATGTCATGCATGCAAAATAGTAGAATGTCTATCTCAGGGATAAATCTTCCGATCATGTTATTAATAAAAAAATTGAACAAATAAGGCTCATCTGAGAAATATATGCGACAATCACGAAAGAAACTTTTCTTCTGCACAAATAACAAGTCATAAGAACATTACCACTCACTAGGTCGTTTGCAATATCTGCATACCATAGTGCTACCTCGAGGCTTGTTTCTAATAGTTGTTCATCTGGGAAAGTCTCCAATATCTTTTCCTCTTCTACTCTCTTTTCTGCTCCTTCTAGCCTGGACAAGTGTAGCTACTTGATTCCCCATTCCCTTTCGGTCACATATTTCTAGGTCAAATCCTTGAAATAGTAGCACCTATTGAATCAAGCATGGCTTGGACTCCTTCTTTTCAATCAAGTATATGAGAGTAACACGATCTGTATAAATAATTACCTTTAAGCATATCAGGTATGACCTGAACTTGTCGAATGCAAACACTACTGCTAGCATCTCCTTCTCGGTCATGGTGTAGTTGAGTTAGGCACCACTCAAGGTTTTAATTGGATAGTATATTGAATGCACGACTTTATCTTTTTGCTTCCGAAGAACTGCTCCCACAATATAGTCTCTCTTGAATCACACATCAACTCGAATGGTTTCTCCTAGTCAGATGCAACTATGATGGGTGTAATCACCAACCTCTTCTTCAACTCCTCGAAAGTTACTGCAGTCATCAGAAATCACAAAGGAGTGATCTTTTTCAAGAAATTTTAAAAAAGGGTTAGCAATTTTGGAAAAATCCTTTATAAATTACCTGTAGAATCCAGCATGACCAAGGAAAGTTCTTATTGTTTTGATAGAAGTGGGCAGTGGCAATTTCTCTATCACATCTACTTTAGCATGGTCGACTTTTTTACCCTTCTGTGACACTAGGTGTTCCAATACTATACATTTATGTACTATGAAATGGCACTTTTCCAAGTTTAGCACCAGATTAGTCTCAATAGACCTCTTCAACACTCTTCTAAGATTTATAAGGCAATCATTGAACGAGTTCCCCACCACTGAGATATCATCCATGAAAACCTCTATTATATCCTCTACCATATAAGTGAAGATGGCTATCATGCATCTTTGGAATGTAGCAGGTGCATTGCATAGGCTAAACAACATTCTCCAAAAAGTATAAATGCCATATGGATAGGTGAACAATATTTTCTCTCTATCCTCAGGGGCAGTAGAGATATGGTTGTACCTTGAGTACCCATCCAAGAAGCAAAAGTGGGACCTCCCTACCAATCTATCTAATATTTGATAAATGAACAGCATGGGAAAATGGTCTTTTCGGGTGGCCTTGTTCAATATCCTATAGTCCATACATATTCGACATCCCATGATTGTTCTTTTTGAGATCAACTTGTTGTTCTCATTTTATACCATAGTCATTCCACATTTCTTTGGAACACATTGAACTCGGCTAACCCAGTTGCTGTCTGAGATGGGAAAAATGATTCCCGCATCTAACCACTTGATCATCTCTTTATTCACTATATCTTTCATATTTAGGTCTAGCCTTCTTTGATGTTCTCTGGAAGGCTTGTGCCCAAAAGTTGTTCTACCTACACATCTAACAAACCATATGAGATAATAATATGTAAATTCGAGTTAGGTCCCAAGAAGGCATACCTGAGGTGAGATGGGAGCGGTTTTAGCTCCAACAGTGGTGAATTTTCAATTGATTGGTTAGACGGAGGGGTCTTTCTTTCTTTTAAGTGTAAAGGCTCGAATTTGAACTCTCTTTTCCGGTACAATTGGCCTTTAGGAGCCAAAACCCACTCCACTAAGTCCTCACCGTCTACCTCTTCTAAGTTCATGATACAGGCTGTTAGAGGGTCTTTTGCGGGAAGCGTCTCATCTTCCTTCTCCATGATCACATCTACTGCTTCAATTATAGAGCTATTAACAAACTCACTGGGTTGCCTCATGGATCTTTGCAAATTAAATGTATTTCTTTATTATATTATTTAGTCTCATTTTTAGCTCCCTAGTTTCACAGTTAATCAGAGATCTCCCCATGGCCAAGAGTGGCCTACCCTAAATTATGAGAATCTCCTCATCAACCTGGCAGTCAAATGACAAAATCTGCTGGGAACACAAACCTCCCAACCTACACAAGTACATCGTCAAGTATACCTGATGTCTTCTTTATCATTCGGTCAGCTAGTTGTAGTAACATATATGTGCACCTTGATCTTCCAATGCCTAACTTGTTATAGATAGACAAGGTCATCAAATTTATACTCTCCCCCAAATCACACAACACTCTGGCGAATGCATATCTGCCTATAGTGCATGGAATTGTGAAACTCAAAGGTTCGGATAGCTTCTCAGCTACAGGTCTTGTAACAACAACACTACAAATCTGAGTCAATGTCATAGTGGCCAGGTCTTGAAAGTCAAACTTGTGATACATCAAGTCCTTCATCATTTTTGCGTAACCTGGAATCTCTCAGAAGGCATCTATCAGTGGAATGTTCACCTGAATCTGCTTTAACATCTCCATGAACTTTTTGTACTGATCAACTTTATGATATTTAGCCAACCTTTGCGGGAAGGGTGCTGGAGGTTACTTCTTTCTTGTGACTTGAGTCTATTCCTACTCAAGCATTTTTTTCGATACTTTCTCTTGCACTTGCTTTGTTTCTTTTGCAACTTCCTTGTCCTTGCTTGTTTCCTCTTGTGCATGTTGTATTGTTACCTCGTTAAATTAGTTGACTTATCTACCTCAAATGGTACTGGCATAAGTGTTGCAGTTGGTCGGCTATCTCGAGCAATTTCTTGCTCTAGATCTAGATCTCTACCATTTCTGATACTTACAGTCATCAACTATTTTGGTCCTAGATCCTTTGGATTGATGTTTGTGTCTGCAGGCAATATTACTTGAGGACAATTATTTAGAGCCATATAGATCTGCCCCAGTTAAATTTCAATACCCTTGATAGTTGAGTCATGCGCCACTACCTTTTCTTGCATCTGGTGGACCTTTTCTTCTATCTTCCTATTAGACCCAATGATTTGTTGCATCATTCCTTTAATTTCGGACAACCCATCATCTTTTTTCACTATCTGTTGTTGTTGAGGTTATTGATAATGTTAGTTGTTGATTTTGTTGATTGTATCCTTGTTGCCTTTAATAAGGCACAACTTGACCTTATGGTCGCATAACTCCAGGATTTTTATTATTATTATTGTTATACTGTTGTTGCGTTGGCCTATACTGCTGATTTTGTTGTCCTCAATTCTAACTACCTTGTCTCTAGCCCCCCAAGGTTGCTCAAATAGTTCATATTTTCTTGGTAGTTTTGATTGTCACTTTCACTGCTCCACAAGCACACATATAGTTGGTTAATGCATGGTATGCATAATTCTCTAGTAGTCGTATCAACTATGTGTACCTGCTTCTGGCCTGATTCATCAATGTTCTTGGTGAGGATACTCATGTGAGTATCAGAGTGGCCATATTCTTGGCTATGGAGTTATTCGGGTCCAGAGCTACTGAGTGAACTACAAGAGTGAGTGCAGTGCCTCTTGTCATCAATCTTGAGTTTTGAGCCATTTTATCAAGTAGGACCTTACACTCTCTAAATGATTTACTCAAAAATGTGACACCTGCTGAAGCATCAACGTTGGCCTTCAAGATATTTGCCAATCCCATATAAAAACTTTGTCCCAATATCTTATCTGGAATGCCATGGTGTGGATACTTAACCAACATCCCCTTGAACCTCTCACACATTTCTTGTAATGTTTCAGCTGGTTTCTGCCAGAAGCTCAATATTTCATCAACTCGCTTTGTAGTCTTATTAGGTGGGTAGAACTTGTTCAAAAATTGCTTGACTCATTCCTACCAAGTAGTGATGGAGTTTATGGGGAGCGAGTTAAGCCAAGTCTGAGCCTCCCCAATCACTGAGAATATAAACAATAACAGTCTGATTGATTCTGGTATCACATTCGATTGCGTTTGAGGGACACAGATTACCAGAAAACTTTTCAGATGTTGTTGTGGATCTTCAATGTAAGACCCAGAGAACAATCCATTGTTCTACAGCAGATGTATAATTTGAAAGGAATTCGCTTGTATCTGAGGGAGTGCAATTACAGTTGCCAGATTGTCAGCAGTGGGTTGTGCCCAATCATAAAGGGATGCTTCTGAAAAAATAGGTTTCGCGCCCTAATTGTTCGGGTCACTCCTATTGTTTTTGTTGTTTTGATTGTCTAAAACATCACCCATGTCTAGTTCAATTTGTTATCTT